TCTGCACAATGATGCAAGAAGAGAGGATAAAGCCAGTAAGATGTTAAACATGTACTCCAGCAGATATATAATTGTCTCATTCAATTTTCCGAAGATTGAGAACCCATCAGGCATCTAGAAGACATGATTTGTCCCAAAAAAATAAAAAAACCAAACACAACAAGTGATGATAAAAAAATGTTTCAAACTATTGAACTACTTGAATTCATGGAATCCCAATCAATGGTGAAGTATGAGTGACAGCTAGGTGTCATCCTCGGGGCTTCAATTCCTTTACTGAAATGACAAAATTTACAGATACAAACGATTTGCTTAAACAGAGTATTCGATGGGGCTTTGGATGACAGAAAATTGACTTAAAGCAATAATCAAATTGATCAGCAAAAATGAAAATAATGGATGTTTTCGAAATTTTTTAAATAATTTATTTGCGTAACTAATTTATTTGTATACTTGCAGAGATTGTGTTAACTCTGATTTTGTGCTTTCTTCCAGCTTCAAAAGCAAGCACCTTCATCAAGCACAGAAATGAGACAAGCCATCAGAAAACATGAGAAATAAAGGATGCTAAATTTGGTGAGTATGAAAAACTAGAGGGGGGAAAAAAAGGAGAGAGGAGTCCAAAAATACTTTTGTATCACTCTCGAGAGCAACATTTGTTGAGCTCATGCCTCTACCATATCTGCATGTAGAAACGTTTCAATTGACAGCATTCGCTCCTTATGTAATTGGTCAGATGTACTAACGACAGAATTGAGTAAACAAGACAAAATGGAAATGTACCCTGGAATGATCCTTTCAGAAGCAATGTAAGTTAGTGAAATTGATGCACCTCTCATAATCACAAGCCAAACTCAATAGTGCCATGATTTTAAAACAATGAAGAAAAAAGGAAGGCGGGGAAATGGAAGAGAATTGTACCTGGATTCATTATTGGAAGGAAATGCCTGAGTAAAGATATAAATGAATAACTTGAAGTAGAAATTGTTGCAAGATATCCATTTGTTGATGTCTCCGAGAGAGGTTTGCTTACCTGCCCATGGTTTTGAAAGGCAGCAGTCACAGAGCTGCAGCAGAGCAGCAGTAGCGACAGCAGCAGTGCAGCCTCAACAGCAGTCACAGCATGGAAAAGTTAGAGCAGCAGCTTCAGCAGTCACGTGCGAATTAGCAAGGCTAGGTAGTTAGTTTGTTAGAGATTAACTATAGTTTAGTTAGACGATTATGGTTAGGTTAAGTGTATCAATCTTGTATATATACTATCTCGTCAGTGTAATAGATTCATTCAATAAAATCAATAAAGTTGATATCTTCTTGTTTTCTCTTTATGGTATCAAAGCACTAGGCTCTTGCGAGCTTCGATACTTTAGAGAAGTTCATCAATGGCTTCTCCAAACACCATAGCTGCAGCACCATCATTCTTTTCTACTTCTGCACCATCTTCTTCTTCTTCTATGTCTTCATCTATCACACTGCCATCAAATCTCACATTATTAATCTCAAATCTTAGTGCCTTTGTCACTACAAAGCTTGACTCATCAAATTACATAGTCTGGAAAAGTCAGTTGCAGAATATCTTGCGAGCAACAAAGCTTCTTGGCTATGTGGATGGATCTGAGGTATGTCCTCCATCAGTTATGTTAGATTCAAACAATCTTGAATTCTTGAATGCAAATTACACCTTATTGAGCACCATTGATGCTCACCTCTTGAGCTACATAATTGCAACTCTTTCTCCTTCTATCTACACAACTGTGATTCATTGTCAAACTAGTCAAGAAGTCTGGAGTGTTCTTGCCAAGAGATTTACCTCTCTTTCAACGTCTCACATCTATCAATTGAAGAATAAACTAAATCGAATTGTAAAGAAATGATCCACAATGAAAGAGTATTTGAATCAGTTCAAATTAATCTCAGATCAGCTTGCCTTGGCTTCATCACCTGTTGATGATGAAGATTTAGTCCTCTTAATCTTGAATGGACTACTTGAAGAATACAATGCTTTAAAAACCACCATACGAGCTAGGCCAGAACCTATCTCCATGGATCAACTTAGTTCTTTACTTTGTTCATAATCTATCCATGTTGAATCTACTCTCAAGCATACTCAGAAATTCTAGGTTCCTTTGCCTACACTACTAAAAGGAGTAGTTATTCTCATAGAGAAGGTCCTAGAGGCTCTTATAGGGGAGGTCCTAGAGGCTTCTATAGGGGCAGAGGTGCTTTCAGAGGTAGAGAAGGGGTAGATTTCGCAGTCAGCATAGTCAGTTTCAGAATCAGAATTAGAGAGGTGGAAACACTCAATTTCAGAGAGGCAGAGCTACAACAGGCTATAATACACATACAAACAGTCATAGCTACAATACAAACAGTCCTACTATGATCTGTTAAATTTGAGAAAAAGGAAATCACACTGCTCTAGACTGTTGGTACAGACTAGATGCAACTTTCCAAGCTTCATCTCAAAACCATTACTCTAGTCCTTCATCCTCTACCAGTCATCATAAGGCCTATGTTGTAGCCAACACAGTTCCACAATCTGAAGCTAGCTGGTTTCTTGATTCTGGAGCTACAACTCACATGACACATGATCTGAATAACCTCTCTCTATATCAACCTTTTCATGGCTCAAATCAGGTAATAGTAGGTGATGGAAACACACTTCCTAGTGCTTATACTGGTAAAGGACTCCTTCTATCTCCCCCTTTTTCATTCCAACTTAATAAACTACTTCATGTTCCTACTCTTTCTTCAAATTTACTTTCAGTTCATCAATTGGCCGTGGACAACCATTTTATTGTTACTTTTGATGAAAATTCTTTTATTATCCAGGACAAGAGTACTCAGAGAGTCCTGTATAGAGGCTGCTACTCAAATGGACTATATCCATTCAGTTCATTCTCTGATTCTGCTGCATTCTCTTTTCAAGCTTGCCTCTCCTGCTCCATTACTCCAGCTCCTCCAAGTTGGCATTTTCGTCTTGGTCATCCTTCACACAAGAAGTTTCATCACATCAATTCTCATCATCACTTAGGTTTTACATCTTTATTTCTATCTAATAAAGGCTCTAGTTTGTGTGAACATTGTTGTGTGTCCAAGAGCCATAGGTTACCTTTTTGTATGTCAAATTCTACTGTAAACAAGCCTTTAGTTCTCATCCACACTGATGTTTGGGGTCTCTTGTCTTCCTCTATTTCAGGCTTTAAATACTATGTGTTGTTCATTGATGATTTTAGCAAATTTACTTGCCTCTTTCTTCTTCATTATAAGAGTGAAGTTTTTTTTCCAAATTTCTAGAGTCCAAAGCTTTTGTTGAGACACAATTCTCTACTAAACTTCAAGTTTTAAGGAGTGACAATGGGGTGAATATCTAAGCACTCAATTTTAGGTTTTTCTTAAACAAAAAGGGATTGAACATCAGGTGACCTGTCCTCACACACCCTCTCAAAATGGTGTGGCTAAGAGGAAACATAGGCATCTCATTAAAACCACAATTACTCTCATGCATCATTCTTCCCTTCTTTTACTCTACTAGTTTGATGTTCTTACTACTGCAGTATTTTTGATTAATGGACATCCTACTCTCAAACTCAACAATCTTACCCCTTATGAGGTTCTGTTCAAGCAAAAACCTGAGTACCAGTTCTTAAGATCTTTTGGATGTAAGTGTTATCCTTGGCTCAAGTCCTATACTACTCATAAACTCCAACCAAGATTCATTCCTTGTGTTTTCATTAGCTATCAACCTTCTATTAAAGGGTATAGATGTCTTGATTCTCAATCAGGCAAAGTTTACATCTCTAGACATGTAGTCTTTGATGAGTTTTGTTTTCCCTTTAAGGCTTCTTCTTCTTCTTCTTCTCCTTCATCTACAGTTTCAATTGGTTAAGTTTTTTTGGCCAGCTTCCCCTACTGCTACATCTCAGTCTCACTCTTCTTATCCATCTTCTCTCTTCCAGCATCCACAACATCTCTCAAATCCTATCATCTCTTCTTCACTAGCTTCCTTACATCAACAAGTTCCATCTTCAGTTGTTGTTCCTTATCTTTTTCCTCTTGTTCCTCATCTTTTTACTGATCATTCTACTCAAATTCCTATCTCTTCAATTTCTATCAATCTTCCTTGTGTTCTATCTACTGCTCATCCCATGATTACCAGGTCTAAATCTAGACAGCTTCCTTCTTCTTCCACTTTTGTCTCTCTTCTTGCTTCTACTGCTCACTTTGAACCTTAAACCTATTCTGAGGCTGCCCAATCTTCTGTTTGGCAGGCTGCTATGCTTGGTGAATATGCAGCTCTTCAAAAGAAAGGTACTTGGACCTTAGTCTCTTTACCACCTGGTAAACAGGCCATTGGCTGCAAATGGGTTTATAAGTTGAAAAAGAATTCAGATGGCACAATAGCTAGACATAAAGCTAGATTAGTTGCCAAGGGCTTTCTCCAAATCGAGGGAGTGGGTTATCATGAGACTTTTAGTCTTGTGGCTAAACAACCAAATATCAGAATTCTTTTGTGCCTTACTCGTCATTTTGATTGGCTAATCAAACAACTTGACATTTCCAATGTTTTCCTTCATGGGGTTCTTGAAGAAGAAGTGTACATGGTCCAACCTTAGAGTTTTGGTCATGCTACTCAACCTCATCTTGTTTGCAAATTAAACAAAGCTCTTTATGGCTTAAAACAAGCCCCTAGAGATTGGTTCTCTACTTTCTCAACTTTTCACCTCTCTCAGAATTTTGTTCCTAGTCAATATGATTCCTCTTTGTTTGTTCAAAAGACTCCTAATTCTATTACCATTCTACTCTTATATGTGGATGATATACTTCTCACTGGCAGTGACCCTCTTTATATTACTTCTTTGATTCAACAAATGCATGCCACCTTTTCTATGAAAGAACTTGGCTTTATTAACTACTTTCTTGGTATTTCTGTCACCAAGTCCTCTGCTAGATATATTCTTTCTCAATAGAAGTATGCTTAAGAGATTCTAGCCAAAGTAGGCATGAGTGATTGCAAGTCTTACTCCTCTCCCATGGCTACTAAAACTTCTGCTCTTTCTTCTGATGCTGACTTACCTTTTATTCAACCCTCTCTTTACAAAAGTTTAGTAGGTACTCTTCAATATCTAAGTATCACTCGACCAGATCTTGCCTTTGTGGTTAATCATGCCTGCCAATTTATGCCAACACCCTTGAATAGTAATTTTACCTTTGTCAAAAGGTTGCTCAGATATCTTAAAGGCACATTGGGCCATGGTCTTCATTTCTCTAGTGGTCCTTTTATTCTTAATGCCTACTCTGACTCAGACTGGACAGGAAATGTGCTTGATAAAAGGTCCACTATTAGGTATTGTGTTTACCTTGGTCCCAACTTAATTTGTTGGTCAGCCAAGAAGTAGTCAACTGTGTTTAGGTCTTCCTCTGAGGCTGAGTATAGAGCCTTAGCTCTGACCTTAGCTAAACTTAGTTGGATTGGTATGTTATTGGTAGAGATTCACATTCCTGTGTTTGTTCCCACTCTTTGGTGTGAGAACTTATCTGCTATTGTTATGTCTCATAATCCTGTGTTTCCTGCTTGAACTAAACATATTGAAGTGGATTATCATTTTGTTCGAGAGAAAGTTGTAGCCAAGAAACTTCACATTTGTCACATTCCTACCACTGATCAAATAACAGACATTTTCACCAAACCTTTGTTTGTGGCTAGTGTGGACTCGTCTTTTTCCGCGCCCCGCCTTTCGGAAAGGGTTTGAAAAGAAGGCCTCACAGTTCGGACTCCCGCGGTTCTGAATCTAATTTTACAAAGTGCAATGTGAAACTGATAATCACTAAAGAGTCCAAATCCAACAAACCTTTTTGGAAAATCGATTTTAAGTCAAATAATGCCAAAATTGGACTGCTTTGCCAGATACAGAGTCGCCACCTAAATATTTTATTTTTGAAAAATCTAGAAAACCCTGACTTGTGCCGAAGGCCACGTGTCCATCATCACCAAAGTTGCCTCAGCTCGGGAACTTGGGTACGAGAGGGGAAGATCCTGAAATGAGCACCCCCGTTCGTTCGATCAAAGGATCGGCCTCTACTAATCATGATATGTTCTTTTATAAACATTATATGTTCTTGTTCCGGTTATTAACCTAACCTTACTATGTGACACATACAAGCAAGTATAGACTAGTTGCAAGGCTTGGAATAATTCAACTTCATGTTTGTTTGTGAAAATAGTTTGAATTTGCCACCCTCAAGTGGGCTTAAAAAATGTGGATTTGCCACCAAACATAGTGGGCTTAAAACATGATTTGCCACAACAAAGTGGGCTTAAAACGCACATTCGTTGAATCGTTCCAATTCAAACAACAAGCCTTCATCCACAGGAATTCAGACAGTTTAGCATTTAAGCATATAGCCTCATGGCAAGCATGCGAAACATGGCGATATGGAAATCACACTCATGCAAGTCTGCTAAAGAATAATAACTTACCGAGTACTACGAGCCAAAATAGAAACTAGTTAGAAAGATGCATGATCCTAACTATACAAGATGCCTCTTGTAACACATGCAATGATGTAACTAAATAGGCTCGGCTACTTAATCATGGTATTTGCAACACCTTGATAGCATGCTTTGAAACACGTGTTCAAAGAAGTATTGAAATAACAATGCAGCTTGAATGATGCGCAGAGCCCCAGTGCATGCAAGACAAATGAATGGATGCAAACATGCAAGCATAAGGCATGCTAATTGAAATTGTCCCTAATCTAACCATCAAAAGCGATTAAATAAAAGGGAGAAAGACGTGGGGTTGTAAAACATACACACACGCACGCACACTTATTATAACATTATGCCCTTGCGAAGGAGGGTTCAAATGAATAATTTAGCTAATCTAAGCTAAGCTAATTAATGCAAAACAAAATAAAGAAATAGCTAAGTTAAGCTACTTAATTATTACAACAATCAATTAACTAATCTAAGCTAATCAGCTACATATTGCGCTAATTAATTAAAACTAAATTAATTAGGTACAAAACCAGCTCAAAAATAACAATAAGCACACTGTTCTGATTAATTAAACTTGAGACGCATCAAATGCACATGCGCGCGCTTGTTTTCCACCCGGAATGTCATTGCTTTGCTGCTGGCTGCCTCTGTTTGCACAGTTGAATTTTGGTATGCTGGAAGGGCATTGTTCTGAGAGTACATCAGTGGCTGGCCGGCCACTAATGGAGGTTGCCGGCCATGTGCCTACTGCAAAAGGGCATTGCCGGCCATCTGTGAAAGGTTGCCGGCCATCCGTGTATGGCCTGCCGGCGACTGATGAACAACCTTATTCTGCTGCAACAAAGAACAACATAGAGCAGGAAAGAAGTAGTTTCACAGGTTGTATGTATTGTGTTCCATTCCTTATTATCAAAACATCTCCAATGAGTGGTACTCTTGGCTCCAAAACCACCAACCAAACATTTTCAATGCATGATGGCCAAAGAACCAAGGAATATTACTTCATTAGATGCAAAAAAAACAAGACTCAAGACCATCACCCTATCATGTGTGATCAAGGGCAATGGAGGCCAAAGAGATTGGCTCATTTCATCACTTTGAGTATGAAATGCTCCAATCTTCCTTGTGTTCAATATAACGTCTGATTGAACACATGCAATGCAACACAAAATGCTTATCTTGCCCAAGTTTTACTTATCACCTTTGTTTACTCATTTTAAATTACCAACTCATTCTTTAATTGGTTTAGTCCATTGGTGAGAGTCCTCTAAAGAGAAAAAAGTGTCAACGAAGGGATGATGTAAGGCAAAAGAGAGTTCATGCCGTTGATAATGAACCCTCAAAGAGGATTAAACCATTAAGCATAAACTCTATCTCAAGCTTAAAGAACCCCAAACTTGAAACAATCTTCAAAAGCAATTGAAAGAGTGAAACAAATGAGGATATGACAGAGCTATATATGCTGAAATCATATACATGCAAAATGACACCATAACATGCAACCAACTCATGACCAAAGGTTCAAAACACTAAGTTAGTGAAGGAAATTGTACCACAACTATGCCAAACAAAGCTCAAATGACCCAAATAGCTTAAGATAGAGCTAAAGTAGGTCAAAATAGAGCCCAAAATAAGCTGGACTTAAGCTACAAATTGCTAGAAAAACATGCTAACATATGAAGCTATCTAGACATGCAAACAAGACACAAGGTGGGGAGGCTAACCCCTCCAATTTTAGACTTCAAAACATGGTTTTTACCATTGAAAAAATTCTGAAATGCAGTGGTTAAAAGGCCAAAAAAAGTTGATCTAAAAGCTTTGAAAAAAAGGCACAAAAGCTTAAGAAAATCAAGTAACAAAAGGGTGAACCACCCATAACTCAAAAAAGGCCTTAAACCACCATTTTTAAACCATAAAAATAGAGATTTTTAGAGGTCAAAACCAGCTCAAAAATAGTATGTAAAGATGGCATAATAAGTATTTAGAACAAGAGTAAAATACAAGTGTTGTACCTCTTGAAGACAAGATACAATTTAAGCAACAAAACAAGCCAAATCAAGCCAAAATCCTCTTCTAGAACTCAAACAAAACCCCAAGATACCTCAGCTCCAAGGTGGTCAAATTTGATCAAGGATTCATTTGCAAAAGTGTAGAGAAACTAGACTTTAAGGCACAAAATAACAAGAGAGAGAGAGAGAGAGAAAGAGAGAGAGAAAGAGAGAGAAAGAGAGAGAATTTTTGTATTCAAATTTTTCTAAACCACCCCACATGCAAGAGAGGGGTAATATATATAGAAGATGCAAATTCCCTTTACAAAGATCCAGCCACACACGTGTTAGAAGATGCATGAACCTGTGTATACAGCTGGCACAAAATATCACAAAATATTTGCTGGAAACACTAATGGCCGGCCGGCGATTAGTGATGGCCGACAAGGCTTCATTGATGGCCGGCAAGCCAAAAGCCACGGCCGGCAGTATAGCGATCCCGGTTGTCCCTTTACTGTTCTGTTGTATTCCGGACTCAGTTCCGTGAAATTGGTAGTTGTATCTATCTTGTTGTCATCCTTTAATTCTGTTTGTTTGAGTTATAGGATGTGTTGGGCTTGTTTCGAACAGGTGGGTTGAACCTTGGTCTGAAATCTTGTTGCCAGGTTTTTGGTCGTTCTGCTCGAGCGGGTCTTTTTGCACTCGAGCGGATATTGCACACTCCCAGTTTTTTTGTGTCCCTGCAAAACTTCTGCAGGTGTGATTTTTACGCTCGAGCGGGTTTCTTTACGCTCGAGCGGTGGCGCTCGAGCGGGTACTCTGGCGCTCGAGCGGGTAGTACCTTTTTGGTGTAAGTTCTGGGAGGGGGAAATCTACGCTCGAGCGGATGTGCTTTATTCTTGTGTCTTGGCGCTCAAGCGGGTTTTCTTGCGCTCGAGCGTACCTAGTTTTTTGTTCTTGACGCTCGAGCGTTGTGTTCTCCGCTCGAGCGGGAATGTCGTATATCAGTTGGCAGCTGGGCGTTTTAAATTCACTTTTTACATTCTCTCTCTCTCTCTCTCTCTCTCTCTTACTTTCTAAAAAGCCATTTGAGAGCTTCTCTCTTTAGAACCTTGCTTTCTCTCTAGGTATTGATCTAGTAAGAGTTGTTTCCTCACCTTTGGCCTTCACAAAAAAGTTATTGATTGTCGAGGGCTATCTTTTGATCCGAGAAACTCGTGGTTTGGAGCAACTTCGTTTTTGCCATCTTCTTCGTTGGGTGTCATCTTTTGAGGTAGGGATTCCTACTCACTACTATGGACATTGACCTAGATATTTGGGTATTTGTATAAATGGTTGATTTTGGGAAGTTAGGGTTTGAAAATATTGAAAGGGAGTTTTTTTATTTTGATTCAAAAATATGTATTTTGGGTTTCAAAATAATGATATTGTTGTTGGTTATTGATATATAGGCCATTGGGTCAATATTGGGAAATGGGGTAGAAAACCCTAATTTGTTGTATAAATTAATTGGTATAATTAATTTGGAAAAATTGTGGACTTATGGAATTGAGTTGAAAATAATGAAATTGGCTCATTATGTTGTGAAATGGTGGAGTTGGATTTATAAATCGCTCACTTTTGAAAACATTGATATTTTATCTGTTGGAGCTTTTATTATCTGCTTAGAAATAATTGCTTGGACTACTGGTGGAGGGTAGTTTTGATTGTTGTAGACAATGCATGATGATTAGGCAAACTAAAACTAATCAGTGGATATGTCATAGAGATATGACAGTTGATAGAATACATTAACGTTAGTTATTGTTTGATTGTGTATATGACCTTTGTGTATATACGTTGTGTGTGTGGGGAGGA